TATAATAATCTGATCCACTGTCTATCATGATAAATAATGACACAAGACTCTTCCCAGACAGTGTTTTGCTCCATTGTGTGTGGGGTCACTATGACAGCTAATAACAGCATTACGAAGATAGATATAGCTGAGGAGAGAAGTCTTACTTCCCAAGAGCTCAGAATGGGTTTAACTCTAAGCCCTGGCGATTACAGACTTCAAATCCTTAGACAGATCAAGCCAACCTGCCGGGTCCTGGCATCCTCACCTCTGAAACGTGAATCATGATACTGATCCTGCAGAGCTGTGATACAGGAAATGTAAGAGAGCGCACAAAGGGCTTGTGTCAGCTCTGTGTACATAGCACAGAGGACAGTTGCCCCACAAGGAATTTTTTTGTCTGTAATCTTTAAGGGAGAAGACAGCAGGTGTTTTCTCTGTGGAGTAGCTCCTGGGTTCGAACTGCCACCTTTTAGTTATCCACTGACTGTGATTGGAGCAATGCTAGCAGAGGGAATAGCAAGAACAATCAGATCCTCAATGTAGCCCTGAGAAGTCATTTCAAAATTCCTGTCACTATCTCACAGCGCCTGCTAAATGTTTGTTAAATGGAGTCATGGCTTCTCCCTGGAAAACTAGCATATGCTCAACATGTGGTGACTACCTTAAGGTGACCAGACATCCCGCTTTTGGTGGTAGAGTCCCGATTTTTGGCATTTTTTAAAAAGTCCCAAATTTTGGAAAGAATGCACAACAAGCTAGGGAACGGTCTACTTGGTCCATATAGACCAAAATTTTAATCAAACCCTCCCCCCACCCCCATCAATGGTGCCCCGCGTTCAATCTGGTCACCTTAGACTACCTACATCCCACAGAACATGCCTGCAGCCCTAGTTTTGTGCATCTGTTTCCTTCTTTGCCCCCATACTAAGCTATGAGCTCCTGAGGACTCTGTAGCCAGTATCTAATACAGGGTCAGCCCATGTAGGCTATAGTAAATGTCCGCTAAGGCAAGTTAGAGAGAGCCCAGACCTTGTTAATTCCCAACAAAAGTTCTCATGCAGCATCAAAGGGCATCTGCTGGTGCCCAGCTATCAAAATGAACAGCATCTTGGGTCTTAAAGATTGTCTTCAAATAAGAAGCTATTTAACTAAGTCCACATGTAAGAAGCACACAAGCCTGTGTGATCCGAGGATGATAAATAATAAAATCCAAACCAAAAAGGGAAGGGTAAGATGGTAAAAGAGTTTACATTGTGAATACCTTTTTTTCAGAAGGTTATGAATGACAGTGAGAGCCCAAAATCCATTTTCAGGGTCCATACATAGATTCATGGTGAATCCTCTTGACCATAGTCCAGGAATAGCCTTGCTGTCAGACAGAATAGGATAAACTTGATTATGGCAGATGTAATTAGGTTGTTTTCTGCTTTCTTCTTGATTGAAAATTTCCCTCCTGGTTTATTTTGTTATAATAGTTTATCTTTTTCGTGTTCTTTTTCTTTTTTATTTATTTGTTTGTTTGTGGTGTATATGTGTGTGTGTGGTTTTCTTTTCCTTTCTTTCTTTCTTTTTTTAATGCTTCCCAGTGTGTTGAATCCAGCATAAGTAAATCTATAGAGACAGTATTGGTGGTATAGGAGGGATGTTGGAGGAAGATGGAGAGCTAATAATGAGTACAGACAGAAGAAAATGTTCTAGAACTGATTGTATCTAGTGATGGTTATACAACTCTTTTTAATATGACTGAACTATGGAAGTGTATGATATGTGAATATATATCAATGCTTTGTTTTGCTCTGGCTTGTTTTTGTGCATATTATTATCTCTGCAGGTCTATCTAGATAAGATAGGTTGGATAAACAATCTGGAGGAGAAAACAACAGTATGGACCTTTCTAGGAGGAACTGTGGAGAGGGGAAGGTGGGGGGAAAGGAAGTGGGTGTTAACAAACCCAGGTACAAGGGAACAACAAGTGATCCAAAATTGGTGGCAAGGAGGGCGTAGGAGGCCTGGTAGGGCTTGATCAAGGGCAATGTAACTGAGAGGAATTACTGAAACCCAATGAAAGCTGAGCATGACAGTGGGACAAGAGGAAAGTAAAAGGAAATAGAGGAAAGAACTAGGAGGCAAAGGACACTTATAGAGATCTAAATACAGGCATGCACATATGTAAATATATTTATATATTATGGTGAAATAGATCTATGTGCATATATTTATAGGTTTAGTATTAAGGTAGCAGATGGACATTGGGCCTCCACTCAAGTACCCCTCAATGCAAGAACACTTTGTTCTATTAAACTGGCATTCCATGATGCTCCCCTTCCCAACATGATGGCTGAAGACCAAGCGGGTGCATAAACAAATGTGGTGAAGAAATCTGATGGTGCCTGGCTATCAAAAGGTATAGTGTCTGGGGTCTTAAAGGCTTGGAGATAAACTAGCGGCCATCTAACTGAGAAACAACAAAACCCACATGGAAGAAGCACCCCAGCCTGTGCAATCACGAGGTGTCGAAGGGATCAGGTATCGGGCACCAAAGAACAAAAAATCATATCACTGTGAATGAGGGGGAGTGTGGATTGGGGACCCAAAGATCCATCTCTAGGTAACTGGACATCATATTACAGAAGGGTCTCAGGGGGGAGATGAGCCAGTCAAGGTGCAGTGTAGCTACAATGAAACATACAACTTTCCTCTAGTTCTTTAATGCTTCCTCCCCCCACCCTCCCCCTGGACTATCATGATCCCAATTCTACCTTACAAATCTCTAGACCAGAGGATGTACACGGGTACAGATAGGAACTGGAAACACAGGGAATCCAGGACAGATGAACCCCTTAGGACCAGTGGTGAGAGTGGCGATACCGGGGAGGTGGGGTAGAAAGGGGAAACCGATCACAAGGATCTACATATAACCCCCTCCCTGGGGGACCGACAACAGAAAAGTGGGTGAAGGGGGATGTCAGACAGTGTAAGACATGACAAAATAATAATAATTTATAAATTGTCAAGGGTTCATGAGGGAAGGAGGGAGGGAGGGAAAAAATGAGGAACTGATACCTAGGGCTCAAGTAGAAAGCAAATGTTTTGAGAATGATGATGGCAACAAATGTAAAATGCGCTTGACACAATGGATGGATGGATTGTGATAAGAGTTGCATGAGCCCCCAATACAGTGATTTTTTAAATAAAACCTTTTAACTATTTAATTTAAAGAAATGGCATCTGTGAAGAGAAGGATGTTGTGTGTCATTCTTGCTGCTTGGCAACCAACTTGGACTTTTTTCTAATTCTAATCTTCTTTTTAACAGGGCATACTGTGCGGTGTTCTAAGGGGAATGAAGATCAAGTCGGGTTCCATGGGAAAGGCCATCTTGCCCTTTGATGTCCAGGTCTGAGCCAACTGCACTGACAAAGAATGACTAGAATTTATCTGAGATTGGGCCATAGACAGCACCGGGTGTCATAGCCAGTCCTGTTTCTGCCGCATTGTCCTTCCTCCTCTCTCCCTGTATTTTGCTCAATTGAGGTTTCCATTGAGAATTGCAATGCTGTGGGCACTAATGAAATGTACCCTGGAGACCAGAGGCAACACACACAACATATAGGAACAAAGTACCTGGAAGCAGTACTAACACCTTTCCAACAGCTGGTGCCTTCAATTTTCCTAGAACAATATCCTCTAGCAGGAAAAATAATTATAAAAGCTATATGTCCATGTTTGATCTCAAGGAACAACAACATAGTTCATATACCAAGTAGACCCATGACTTGAGATTGACCATTTGCTGCTTTCAAGAACTGTTAACCATTTGATTATATTTTCAATAGGGCTTCTCCACCACTATCCTCCCACCATTATTCTCACTGATATCACATGAATGAGTCAGGAGCTGCCTGGCTGGGAAAAGTGTGTTGGGGAAGCCCTGCATGGTGGGACTCACAGACTTCTTGTTCCAGATCATTGATGAAAAGGGCAATATCCTGCCTCCCAACACTGAAGGAAATATTGGCGTCCGGATCAAGCCCACCAGACCTATGGGCCTCTTCATGTACTATGAGGTAAGGCCATGTATGTCATCTGCTCACACCCTGGCTCCCAGAAACCCTTTGGGGAGCCATGTATAAAGGACAAGTACAACTCTGCATCCTGCATTTTCTTTAGATCCTCCTCCATTCCTCTACCTCCTGATGTCTACTCTGATTGACACCTCATTGAGCTCAAAGTTCATAGTACATTCCTGAATCCCTGCCTGTTCTGCCCCATCTGTCACGAAAGGTCAACTGATAGGGTAGAAAGAAGACTCACTTCACGACGACCAGACTTGGGTTCCAGTATCTCCTGTGGTTAAGAACATAGGCTATGACATCAAACACACAGAGTTCAACTACTATTCAAATTACCAGTCAACAGGGTGATCAAATCCCTTACCATCAGTGTGGCACCAAGGGGTGTTATTATTCCCTTTCACATCGTGTCTTAGTTTCTTAGTGCTACTGTAACCAAAATAGTACACATGAGTGACTTTAACAAATGGGAATTTATTTCCTTACTGTGTAGGGGGCTAGAATTCCACATTCAGGTGCCCAGGATTCTAAGGGGGAATTCTCTCACCATTTGCACCTGGAGAAAATCTGTTCCTCAGTTCTTTGGCAATCTTCATGGGCATCTTTCTTTCCCCTTTTTGTACTCTCTCTCTCTCTCTATGCCTAATGTGTTCTTTTTATATCTCTAAAATGATTAGTTCTACTTGACTAGTAAGTCTGGTCTTGTGTGTGTGTGAGAGAGAGAGAGACCAAGAGACATTTTAGATCACTACCTCTACATTCAACAGTTTAAACCACTAGTCCACCCACTGCAAGTAGCCCCCTATTGTTCTTCTCCACATTCCATCTGAGTGAGCAGTTGTCACAATCTCATTTTTTAAATGTATTAAGGCTTACTTATGTCCTAGCGAGAGAGACAGAGGGAGAAATAGCTGGGGGTTTACATTTTAGATCACTACCTCTACACTCAACAGTTTAAACCACTAGTCCACCCACTGCAAGTAGCCCCCTATTGTTCTTCTCCATATTCCATCTGAGTGAGCAGTTGTCACCTCTCTAGCCCATTGCTTTATCTTCCCTCCCTCCCTCCCCTGGGTTACCTCCAAAGTCTGTTCCCTTTGGTATGTACGTCTTTGTCTTGATTTTGATCCTTATAGTTGTGATCTCATCCAAGGTTCGTCTTTTTGTGATTGTGTTTTCACTCAGCATAACGTTCTCCAGGTCCATCAGTGCTATGATGGGCTTTGTGTTTTGACCACTGTTTTTTAGTGATGTGGAGTATTCCACTGGTTGTATGGACAAGATTTTCTTTACCAGTTCTACTGATGGGCATCTGAGTGGTTTCTATCTACTAGCTGTTGTGAACAATGCTGCAATGAAAATGGGTGTGCCCATGTCTGTTTGCACTATGAATTTGTTGTGTGCTGTGAATTTGTATTGCTGGATCATATGGAATTTCCATTCCCAGTGGTTTGACAGAGCACCATATCACTTTCCACAGTGGTTGCACATGTTTCCAGTCCCACCAGCTATGGAAAAGGGTGAATCTTTGATGAACTGTCTGTTCATTTCTCTTGTCCACTTTTTTAATTAAGCTATTTGTCATTTTCTTATTGACATGTTGTTTCTATAGATTTTAGAGATTCATCCCTGGTCCACTGTGTACTGACAAATTTTTTCCCTCAGTCCGTGGGTTCCCTATTTACTCTTTGGATGTACATAAATGTTTTAATAGGTTCATCAGTCTATTTTAACTTCTAATGTGTGAGTTTTCTTCATTATATTTGATAGTATGTCTGTCCTGTAATAAAACCCTTAAGTTTGCCCCTATTTTCTCTTGGTGATATTTATCGCTCTGGAATTTACATTTAAGTATTTTATCCATCTTAAATTTGTGTATATATATATATAATGAGTTAAGAGTTTCTGTACTGGAGTTATGCTCACTTCTTAAGATGTTTGTGGAGTTTGCCATCCTTTTCTATATTCTGAAATAGTTTGTGTATATTGATGCCAGCTCTTCTCTGAATATTTGGTGGAATTCTCCAGTGAAGCCATCTGGCCCTGAGTTTTGTTGTTGTTTTTGGAAGTTTTTTAATGCTCTAATCTGTCTTTTTTTGTGAAGGGTCTGTTCAGATTATGTTACTTTGGGGAGATGCTACCTTTCTAGAAATTTGCTCATTTTAAAACGTGTTGGGTACAGACTTTCATAATGACGTGCTGTTAGTTCTTCATTTCATTTGGTTCTGTTGTGATGTCACTCTTTTTCTCTCTTACTTTTCATATTTACGTCTCCATTTCTTTTTCTTGGGAAAATTTGTCAGTGGTTTGTCAGTTTTTTTTAATCCTTTCAAAGAACCAATTTTTTGTTCAATTGATTTTTTCTATTGTTGTTCTGTTTTCCAATTTATTTAATTTCTGCTCTTATTTTTATGATTCATTTTCTGTTGGTAGTTGAAGATTTGTTTTGTTGCTCCAGTTCTAGCTGCTTAAGATATTGGGTTAGGGTATTGATTTTGGTCTCTCTCTCTTTTTTTAATAACGTGTTTTTTTAAATAAATTTTCTTCCAAGAACTACTTTTGTTGTGTCCCCCAAAATTTTGGTCTGTTGTGTTTTTGTTCTTATTTGTTTCAAGGGATTTTTATTTCATTCTTTATTTCAACGATTACCCAGTAGTTCTTAAGCAGTGCAATGTTCAGTGTCCATATGTTCAATTTGTTTTCCCTTGCTCTTTCTATTACAATCTCATTTTTTAAATTTATTAAGGCTTACTTATGTCCTAGCATATGATCTATCCTAGAAAAATGTTCCATGTGCATTGGAAAAGAAGGTATATGGTATTGTTGGATGGAATGATCTGTAAATATTGAGAAGGTCAACTTGGTGATTGTGTTGTTTAGTTTCTGTGTCTTTATTGAGTTACTTTCCCAGTGATCTGATTCCTTTCAGCCATTTGATAGTTGTAGCCAGGCACCATCTAGTTCTTCCAGTCTCAGGGTCATGGAAACTAATATTCATGTGGTCCCTTAGTCCACTGGACAAATTATTTTGATGAGTCTTTGATTTTCTTCATTCTTCTTTCTTCTAGACTGGGATAGACTAATAGTTGCACCTTGGATGGCTACCCACAAGCATTTAAGACCCCAGTCACTACTCACCAAAGTAGAATGTAGAACATTGTCCTACGTTATGCAAGTTCACTCTGAGGCTATCTTTGGCATCCTTAAGTCTGGAAATGAACACATTACCATGGCTCAATTTCCAGTCAAACAATAGACAGGTCTATAAGAAGAACAATAACAGCAGGGAAGTGTGCACTCCTGAAAAGAATCAACTGCTTGAGATTTAAAGGGCAGCGCATACCCAATAACAAATGTCAAAAGAGATAGGAAATAGAAAGCATGAGAAAGAGGGAACATAAATGATGTATGAATTGTTGAGTGGAACACTGATCTGCTCTGCAAATCTTCACCCAATTCACAATAAAAAGTTTGGCTGTTTTTTGTTTTAATGATTTGCTTTAAGACATACCTTACATACAATGATGTGTCCTCAGAAACATAACAAAGAAAATATTATTCCCAAATAATATTCTATCCACAGGTATAGGGGTTAGGATGCCAACACATAGTTGGGGCAGACACAATTCAACTCATATCGCAGAGGAAGAAATTGCAACTTAGAAGTGTTATGTGATTTATCCACATTAATGAATGGCTGGTTCACATTAAAAGCTATATATTTTTCCCCCCAAAGACCTTACTGCGTGCTCGCTTCGGCAGCACATATACTAAAAAAAAAAGTAAAAAAAAAAGACCTTACTGCTCAATTTGGGATAAGAGTCTTAAATGAGAAACCCAAGGGTTATAGAAAATGGAGACAGGCTATAAGGCACACCTGCTGAAATTCTTTAGAACAAATCCAGACCTCCCTAGTTAATTTAAATGGCCATGAGTGAGGAATTCTCAGCTTCCTGAGATTGACCAGGAAAAGGTGACCAGACCTGAAAATGTGGGCTCAGATTCTATCTCCTTTCTCTAAAGTTCCAACCACTTGAGGCTCTTTGTGGTGCTAGTGTCCAAAAACAAAATGCAGGCCTTAATCTTAATGATAACAGCTCAACTTCAACAGTTAAGCATTAAGTTTAAGCTTAACAGAGTAAAGCGTATAGCCATCAATAACTCTCTACCTTTCCTGCACATTACATATGTTCTTAAAATGGTAAAAGGAGATTATTCATTGACAGGCACTAGGGACAGGGCATGGAAAGAGGGAGAAGAAGAAAAGGCAGGAGTAAAGTAGGTGTGGTGATGAAACAGCAACACCAGAAGTCCTTGGTGGAACTGCTCTGCACGCAGACTGTGGTGGCAGATACATGAGCCGACGTCTGTGACAAAATTGCAAAGAACTATAAACACAAGTGAAACTGAGGAAGTCTGAGCGTCTATCAGTGTCAAGACCCTTGTGGCTGTAGTTTTGTAAGATGGTCCTACTGGGGAAATCCGAGTAAAGGCTATACATGATCTTTCTGCATGATTACATTTTTTAAAATTTCTTTTGTCTAATAATACTTAATTGTGTTGGGTTCACACAACAAATTAGGTTGCCAATGGGCAGTTTCTGCATCATTTGTTGAGCTACATTGGTTACGTTTTACAGTGTGTCAATTTTCTCCTTATTTCCATTCTGGTTAGGTTTTGTTTGTTTCTAAGATAAATACACCTTATTTTGTTATGATTTTCCTTATTTCAATTTGCAACGATTGCATCTTGCTCACACACTGAAGGTTTGTGGCGGACCTGCATCCAGCAAGGCCATTGTCACGATTCTCTCAATGGTATGTGCTCCCTCCATGACCCTGTGTCCCATTTTGTAATTCTCATGATATTTCAAACTTCTTCGTTGTGTTATCACAAACAGTAGGCTACAGCATAATGCAAATATAACGTTTGTGTGTGCCGAGAAACAGACAAAAAAAGTGCGTCCCTGTATTGCCATATTCAGTTTATTGTAATATGAGGAACCAAACACACAATATCTCTGAGGCCTGCCCTAGTTCCCCTACCTCCATAGTTTTGCTGCTGGATGTACACCTACACCTGTCTCAAAATAAGAAGCTTCATTTAAAAAAATGCCAGTCGCTTGCACAAAATTTGCAGGATCAAATGTGATCATATTTTGGGAAGGAAAGTTATCCCATATATGAGTGGACTTCAAAATGGAATGGAAAAATAGAATTAAAATTAATTTTTTCATGAACTTTCTAAATCCCCTTTGTATGTTCATTAAGACCACCCATATACCAGGTGCTGAGTGAGCACTGAGATTTATAGCAGTAAATATTTTTTAAGTTCTTGTTTTATTTTTTTAGAAGTCATTTTATTGGGGGCTCTTCCTTCTCTTATAACAATCCATACATCAATTGTATCAAGCACATTTGTACATATGTTGTCATCATAATTTTTGAAACACTTTCTTTCTACTTAAGCCCTTGGTATCAGCTCCTCTTTTTCCCCCTCCCTCACCTACCCTGCCACCCTCATGACCGCTTGATAAATTATAAATGATTATTATTTTCATATCTTACACTGTCTGCTGTCTCCCTTCACCCATGTTTCTGTTATTCGCCTGTGGGGGGAAGTCAGATCCTTGCTGCCAGACTGCTGTCTCATCCCACCACAGGGGTGGGCCTGCTCCCTGCTGCTGGGGACAATGGACAGGCTCCTGTGGGTGGAGTTCGCATCCTACTGATAATGGTCTCTATCAGTTGGGCCAGGGACAGGCCAAACCGGCTGTCCCTTCTCTTCCTATAGTGTGTATGTCCCTAGATCACCCCCTCCCATCACTGTAATACCTGTAGCACAACCCTTTCCTGTGACGTATGTCTTCACCTGTAATGTGGGGGCTCAAACGTCCCCAGAGAGTATAAAAGCTTGGGGAGCATTAAAATTCTCTCTCTCTCCACGTGAATTACCAAGCGGGGCTGAGGTGAGCAATGCTACCATGAAATGTGTCTAACTCCATTTATTTCTATATCTCTCTTTTATCTCTCATGCTCTCTATAACTTTACTATAATATTTACTTATTATTGCTGTACAATTGCGCCTACCGAACCCGTAGTGATTGTGCTAGGAGCTGGCTTCTTCTGGCATTCGCCCCCCCTTAGGGGGAGAGGGAATATACTCCTCCCATCTTCCCCTAACCCTATGGTATTGCTGCTCCCATTATTGTTCCTGAGGGGTTTATCTGTCTTGGAATTGAAATTTTATTTCAGCAAATACCACACCAAAATGAGTTGTTCTTGAAACTGGCTTAATAACATCCCTTCATGAGCAGTAAAATGATTTAAATGTTTCCATGTCAAGAAAATAGGACAAGGAAGATTATATTGTGCCAGGGGGCTTGAATCCAGAGTCCAGTTTCAGGCTGTTACTCACCAGCTTTATACCCACTGCTTTCAACAGAGGGTGGGTGATCGTCTTTTTGCAGGATGACCCAGAAAAGACAGCCCAGGTGGAGTGCGGGGACTTTTACAACACTGGGGACAGAGCAACTATTGATGAAGAGGGCTACTTCTGGTTCCTGGGGAGAAGTGACGATGTCATCAATACTTCTGGGTAGGTGTGATTGACCGTGGGCCAGCAAGTGTCACCTCACCTGCCTAGTGGGATCTGGCTTGCCAGGTGATTCCTCCACGTATCAGTGAGGGAGCTCTCGGTCTAATTACTTCTAACTTGTGCACCTCCCCCAAACCAAGTGTGCAGCTGCATCGATCAAAATGAAGTTGAGGTGGGTTTGAAAGGTAGGAATTAATTCATCATAAGACACTGCGTGATTGAAGGAGTGAAAGGATTGGGACGAGGGGGTTTGTTTGGGTCTCTATTGGCTGGGGAGCTTATTTTATATTTGTGCTCCTTGTGCGAGGCTCACGCTGTCACAGGAGAAACGTGATGGTGACAACGGAACTTTACAACATCCTTACATGTGAAGCACTCACCAAAGGGTTTTCTGCCCATTAATCCACAAGGTTACCATCCAATCCAAAATTTATTGCACCTCTCGAGCTGTTTCAGTGGTATGAGGCAGGACCCATGTTAATCCCTATTTTAGAATGAAGAGACTGGGTCACACTGCAAGGAAGAAGGTTCCCTTAGTCTTAAAGGTACCTCATGGTGGAGCCCAGATTTCCAGTGAGGTCATCTTGATCTGAGCCCATCTGCCTATACCTTATAACACTAATATATAATATATAATAATATTATTATATTATATTATTAATAATATTACATAATAATATTATATTATATTATTAATAATATATTGTACTATTAATGATATATTATATTATATATTTATATATAATATAAAATAATATATTAATAATATATTATATTACTAATAATATAATATATTATAATAATATAACAACGATATATAATATATTAATAATTAACATAATAATATATTGTTGAATAAATAATAATAATAATATATAATAATAATAAAGATACATTATCCTAGACCAACAATTCTAGGGCATTTCAGGAAATGGAAGTATTTGTTCATCTCTAAAGCAAACACTTACCTATTGGGAAATAAGATGCTACATTTAAATGCATGATTAAGATAAATTTTGAGGTTTCTAAGAAATTTCATACTGGCAGATGCTGCTCCAGCCAAGAACCCAGAGCCCTGGGAAGACAAACCATCTGTCCACTTGCTCATCTGCGGCCTTGGGAGTCTTGTGTGTACCTGAGTCTTAGTCTTTCTGAGCATAGGTGTTAACGGTTCTGGTCCATGACCCAGGCAGGTCCCCCTCCTCAGACTTCCTATTGTGGATTAACCTCTGTGCCAAAGGAATATGGGACCCTCCAAAGTCAATCATTGAACAACATCTCCCCCCAATCCTGGCATATGCCTCTGAACCTGTGAAGGAAGAGTAGTTGATCTTGCAGGTACCGAATTGGTCCAGCAGAGGTGGAGAATGCACTGGCAGAGCACCCAGCGGTGGCCGAGTCAGCCGTGGTGAGCAGCCCAGACCCCATTCGAGGGGAGGTGAGTATGGGACACTGATGGGACCATGTCTGCATGTGGGCTCCGGGAAGCCGGGAGCTGGACAAACTATCTCCCCAGCGTCCATTCTGTGGTGCAAAGGTCTCATTAGTGTGAGGAGGGCATTCGCAGTACGTGCCCAGCAGGGAGCCCTGTGAGCTCACCTGTGAATCTATAAGTAATGATTATGAATGCTGATTATAGTCGTGGTGATGATAGCTAAAATTTAGTGAACCCTGACTGTGATGTACCAACTCTTTTCACCCACAACAATCCAACGAGGTAAGGACTCTTTATGGATAAGGAGCTGGGTGATCTTACTAAGGTTGCCACTCCCAGCCTACCGAGCAGCACTGAAAAAGGAAGCACTGAAGAAGATGGCTTCCTTCCATAAAGATGACAGCTTGGAAAACCCTATGGAACAATTCTATTCTGTCACATGGGGTTACCACCAGTCAGAATTGCCTCAAAGGTAACGAGTCTTGTTTGCATAGGCGAGGAAACAGCCATAAAGAAATAACCCGCCTTAATGACACGGCTCAGCAATCTGGCCCCATGGTATATAATCTTTGATTTTAAAGGACTTATTGAAAACATAGGAGCTCCTGTGGTGTAGCAGCTGCTAACTGCAGGGTCAGCGGTTCAAAACCACCAGCCAGCTCTATGGGATAAAGACGAGTTACAGTAGTGGGAGTTCACATGGGCAAGTTCTACCCTGTCCTATAGGGTCACTATAAGTCAGAATTGACTGGATAGCAGGGACTTTGGTTTGGGGTTGTTGGAAACCTATTATGTGTTGAACCCTATGTGATTGACTTAGGGATGTCATGAATCATTGTCGATTGCCTCCACCTATTTGCTCACTGGATTCCAAGCAGAGAACTAGACATACAGTGATAGTATCAGCTATGATGCTACTACTAACAATAACAACAATACATTTTAACGAGCATCACTCAAAATAAGAAACGGACCAAGCATCCATGAATATAGGAAAGTGAGACATCACCACAAATGAAGTGAAATGCATAAAGATTCATATCCTAGATATCAGTGAGCTGAAATGGACTGGTCTTGGCCATTTTGAATCAAACAACCATATGGTTTACTGTGGTAAGAATGACAAATTCAAGAGGGAAAAAAGGTTTTTTTTTAAATTCAAGATATATCTTGAAGTACAATGCTTTCTGTGATAGGATAATATTTGTACATATACAATGAAATTCAGTTAATACAACTATTATTCAATTTTACATATCAACCACTAAAATTTGAGATGAAGAGTTGAAGAATTTTATTAACTTCTCCAGTCTGAAAATGATCAAACATGCAATCAAGTTTCCTTGAAAATTACTAGTGATTGGAATGCAAAAATTGGAAACAAAGGAAAAACAGTAGGTGGAAAACATGGTTTTGGTGGCAGAAATTAAACTGAAAAATACATGATAGAAGTGTGCAGAACCAATTGCTTCTCCATTGCAAATACCTTTTATTCAACAACATAAATGGTTACTATGCATGTAGACTTCACCAGATGGAATACACAAAAATCAAATTGATTAGAGCTATAGGAAGAGATGATGGGGAAGCTTAAAATTAGCAGCCAAAACAAGGCCAGGGGTGGACTGTGTAACAAACTATCAATTGTTCATATGTAAGTTCAAGTTGAAGTAGAAGAAAATTAAAGCAAGTCTACAAGAGCCAAAATACACCTATAATATATACTGTGGTAGTTAAATAATCTATTGTCAATCTGAGACTTAAGAGTGAAGGCATGGAGTTTAGCCTGTCAATCAGGTCACAGCTTGTTGACCTCATTTGGAGACCATAAGGAGATAAATAGCTTACTGGAGGAAGAAAACAGAGACACTCCCTGGGAGACATTTGTGCCAAGACACATGGAGCTACACTAGAGTGCTGGAGATGAAGGAGCCACATGGAAACCCCTGCCAGCCAGAGATGCTTCCACTGACACTGGATCCACAAGACTTTCCACCCACTGGCCTGTGATCTTCCAGCATTCCAGATCATTGCACATGTTTCATGACTCTGAAGAGGAATTTATAGATTGATATTGGGCATATGGAATAATATCAGACTTATGGACTTGATTTGGACTGGGCTGGGATGTTTTCTCAATATTCAATTGCTCTTGTATATAAAGCTCTTTCTTTCTTTCTTTTTTT